GAGATATCATGAGTACACCTATACTTGAAACATATCACGAGCTTACCCCATTTGCTGGTGAAGGAGTTCTCTTGCGTCAAATCAATGTCATCTTCACGAGCTATACCGGCACCAGTTTGTCCCATCTCATCCATGTACTCTCGTGTGATAGTGGACATCCTGCATGCATCCCTGAGTCTGAAGCTGCGTATATTCCAAGGTGCGTGACAAAACGTACTTTTTGATACGGTTTTTGATCTTCTCAGCCCACGACGACTGAAGTTTTGGCTTCAGCTTTGGGTCTGCGCAGTTGTAGGCAGCCGCAAATGCAGTTGAGTACGTAGGGTGTTCCTTGAAGATAGCGACGGCAACTTTCCACTGCCATAGTGTCTTCTTTTTACCACCGCCCTTCGCGCTTGATGCATTGGGGCCGGGGGGTGGGAACAAGCCTTGCTTGATGTCGGGATCATCGGTGATGGCGGTAATGAGACTTTGACTGAGTGTCTGATCACTCCAACTATGGTGGGTAAAAGATACTTGTTTGTATGGTGAAGACTATGGCTAACGTACTTGATTTTAGTTGCAGTTTTGTCGTCAACAACGTCCTTGCTGTCTACAACCTCAACAACATCAGCTGAGGCGGTCGCCTCATCACCCTTCGACGTTTTCGTGGCTCTTCTCCCTTTCCGAGCAGCTTTGGTTGGAGATTTCTTGGCTTTAGCTGGCATTTTTATGAGGATGTCGTAGTCACTGTGAATCGCGATGTCACCGCAAAAATTTACGGATGAATATCTGAAACAATAATTTTCAAGGAGATGTAAATAAGTAATTAAAATCTAATTGATAAGGGCAGTATGGTAGAAAGGACGTAGAACCGAAACCTGAACCGACGGTGAAGCGCCTCCAGAGGCGCTTCAGCGTCGGTTCAGGTTCAGCATCGATTCGGCGTGTTCCCACGGTTCAGGCATGAAATCAAAATTTTTGAATCGTTCCTGAACCGTTTGTTGAATCGTCGCTGAACCGGCGACTCTGACTCCCCCTAATAATGGAACTGATTCTGAGGAGGGTAAGGGTCGACTTTGCTTAAGGATAACAATGACAGCGACCTTACTGGACTCGATGTTGCCGATGTGGTGGTAAAAGGCAAGATGTGGTAAGCCCCGTGACAGATAGATGCAGTGTTCGACTCTCTTTGGGCTCAGGTGCCATGTCTGGAACAAAATAACGCCTAATCGGGCGTTATTTAACACCCGTTTGGGAACAATCAAAAATTAACACCCAATTGGGATTGCCATCAAAATTAACACCCGAATAGGCAGGCAGCCTCTAACACACACAATCTTCCACAAAACCATAACTTGTGCCGCAGGCTGAGAAAAAAAATACCTGTATTCTATGTTTACCTCTACTTATGTGGTCAGTAAAATTTGATAGGCAAAATGTCTGAAATCACAGTAATGTAGTTCTGGAACCTGGGAAAATTTAACACCCGATTGGGATTAACACCCAAATAGGCAGCTGCTCAAGCAGTTCACCTCCCTACAGGCTTTTCTTGTCGTGTTATGTGCCGCAGGCCAGAAAAATATTTGAATAGCTCACTTTACTTGTGATAAATTGTAGGATACGCCAATTTGAACCCAGAATGCATTTTTGAACCATTGGGAAGAAAATTGTG